CATGCAGGGCTTCAGCCCGTCCTCTTCCTCATAACTGAAAGAGCCCAACATATCCGAGAAGGAAAGACAGCCTCATGTTTACCCATATCCCTGATGGAGAAACTGAGGCTCAGAGGGAGAGGAAAAGTGACTTGTCACAGGCCCCACGGTGACCTAGGAGCAGACCTCCTGGCCGCCAGCCCCCAGCCAAGGAATGTATGGGGGATATTGTCCCAGAGTCCCTAGAAGACCTCACAACTGCCCAATTCAGTCTAGAGGCCCCATGCGCCCTGCAACACCTCCTCCAGGGAGCCTGCAAGGCCTGTCTGGTTGAGCAACAACCCCATCCTTGTCCCTCTGCAGCCTTTGGTGCCATCCTGCAGGGCAGCCTCTTTGGGCAGCTGGGCACCATGCCCTCCACGTACAGCACTCTCTTCCTGAGTGGCCAGGGCCTGGCTGGGATCTTCGCTGCCCTTGCCATGCTCCTGTCCATGGCCAGTGAGTAGACTTGGGTGGCTGGAGGGCTGGGATGGCCTCTGAGGCTTGGGGAGCAGAGAGGGCGTGTGAGAGATTCTGGGTGGAGACGGAGGTAATGGGGTGATGTGTGGAAATGTGGATTGGGTCTGGGGCTTGGAATCCGGGCTCTTGGGCCCTGGAGTGAGGAATAATAACCTGGTGAGGACTGGTTTAACTCAGAGCCAAAGGCAGGATTTCTGGGGCCAAGACTGGCACACAGCAACGGATTATGGTTAAGGGAGGAGGACAAGTTTGGGATTCAGATCCATGTGGGTTTGAATCCGCTTCACTGCTCACTGGCTTGGGGCATTGGACAAGGCCTGGAACCTCTCAAGATTCCTCTCAAGGCTGGTTTTCCCACCTCTATGATTCTATTTTATTTTTTGGAGTCTGAGTCTCACCCTGTGGCCCAGGCTGGAGTGCAGTGGCACACTTATGGCCACCGCAGCCTCGACCTGCTGGGCTCAGGTGACCCTTCAACCTCAGCCTTCCAAGTAGCCAGAACTACAGGCACGCGTCACTACTCCTGACTAATTTTTTAATTCATGATAGAGATAAGGTCTCCCCAAGTTGCAGACTGGTCTCAAACCCATGGGCTCAGGCAATCCTCTCACCTCCTTCTCCCAAAGTGCTGGGATGATAGGTGTGAGCCACCGCGCCTGGCCTATATGATTGTTACAGTTCCCTGCTCAGGCTGTCATTAGCATACAATAAGAGAAGATTCTTGGCACATAGTAGGGGAAAGTGAGGAAGGGCAGGGCTTGTCTGGGGCCATGTGCCAGATTCCCGAGTTTGTCATTGAAGGCTCAAGTACAAGAGGCTGGGAGGGGGGATCTGAGAAGTGCATGATGGGAAGGGAGACATGAATTGGAAGCCCCGTGGGAGCCGGTGGGACCAGCCACCTCTCCTCTGCAGCCAAAGTTTCTCCGCAGGTGGCGTGGACGCCCAGACCTCTGCCCTGGGGTACTTTATCACGCCCTGTGTGGGCATTCTCATGTCCACTGTGTGCCATCTGAGTCTGTCCCGCCTGGTGAGCCTACCATTGGGCTTGAGGTCCCATCTCAAAGCGTCTCAGACAGAGTCCTGAGTCTGAGGCCCTGAGAGGGGCTGGGGGAGGCAGAGGAGACCTGGGCTCAGCCCTAACTCCCAAAGGAGTCTACTCCCAGGGACTCCAGCGCCCAAGTCAGTGGTGTGGGGTGGACTTTGGACACCACGGCCAAGCCAGGCAGGTCCAACACCTTCCTGTGCTTCTGCAGAAGTTTGCCCGCTACTACTTGGCCAAGGACTCCTCGCAGGCCCCAACTCAGGAGCTGGAGACCAAAGCTGAGCTGCTCCAGTCTGGTAAGCCCCGAGACCCTGCTGGGGAGAAGGGAGACCTACAAGAATTTAGAGCCGTCTCCCCTGGAAAGCATTTTCCTCTGTCCCCAACTAGGGCCCCACCTCTAGTAGCCTTAAGCGAGTAGAGGCAGATCACAAAGGGTGTCAGCAGATTAAGTCATCCCTGCTGTTCTTTGGGGCTCAGTTTCCTCCTCTATAAAATGGGGAGACAGTAGAGCCTCGTGCATGCAAGCTCTGGATCTGAATTTGAATCCTGGTTTCACAGCGTCCCAGCTGTGTGGCCTGAGACAAGTCACTAAACCGTGTAACCCCTATGAGCTTCATTTTCTCATTTGTAAAGCAATGGCAATGAGCTAATCTATCAGAAGCTGGGAAACTGGGCATAGTAGTGCATGCCTATAATCCCAGCACTTTGGGAGGCCAAGGAGAAAAGATCGCTTGAGTCCAGGGGTTCAAGACCAGCCTGGGTAACAAAGTAAGACCCCATCATATTTTAAATAAAAATAAAAAGAAGCCGGGCTCGGTGGCTCAGCCTATAATCCCGCGCCTTGGGAAGCTGAGGTGACTAGATTGCCTGAGCCCGCGAGTTCGAGACCCGCCTGGGCAACTTGGTGAGAGCTCATCTCTACAATAAATAAATTTTTAAAAAAATTACCCGGGTGTGGTAGCGCGTGCCTGTAGTTCCAGCTACTTGGAAGGCTGAGGTGGAAGGATCGCTGGAGCCCCAGCAGGTCGAGGCTGCGGTGGCCGGGAGCGGCCACTGCACTCCAGTCTGGGTGACAGAGTGAGACTCCAACTCAAAAAAAAATAAAAAATAAAAATAAAAAGAGAGCATCTATTAGAGGTGCTGAACTCGTTGCCACATGTATGTGCTTCCTCATAGCTGTGTTTATTTCCATCATGAATTCCCTTCACCTGCACCCCAGGCTGGAGGAGGATTATTTTATTATTTTATTATTATTTTTTTGAGTAGGAGTCTCACTCTCTCACCCAGGCTGGAGCGCAATGCCATGCTCCTGGCCACCGCAGCCTTGACCTGTTAGGCTCAAGCGATCCTTCTGCCTCAGCCTTCCAAGTAGCTGGAACTACAGGCATGTGCCACCATACCCGGCTAAGTTTTTGATTTATTGTAGAGATGAGGGCTCGCCAAGTTGCCCGGGTTGGTCTTGAACCTGTGTGCTCAGGCAATCCTCTCACCTCAGCCTCACAAAGTGCTGGGATTATAGGTGTGAGCCACCATGCCCTGCTATTTTATTTTATTTTTGAGTCAGAGTCCCACTCTGTCGTCCAGGCTGGAGTGCTGATGGCCACCGCAGCCTCAACCTGCTGGGCTCAGGTGATCCTTCTGCCTCAGCCTTCCAAGTAGCTGGAACTACAGGCGTTTGCCACCACCACTGGCTATTTATTTATTTATTTATTGTAGAGATGAGGTCTCACCAAGTTGCCCAGGCTGGTTTCGAACCTGTGGGCTCAGAGGCAGTCCTCTTGTCTCCTCCTCCCAAAGTGCTGGGATTACAGTCGTGAGCTACCATGCCCGGTGAATCACTCTTTTTTTTTTTTTTTTGAGTTGGAGTCTCACTCGGTCACCCAGACTGGAGTGCAGTGGCCGCTCCCAGCCACCGCAGCCTTGACCTGCTGGGCTCCGGTGATCCTTCCGCCTCAGCCTTCCAAGTAGCTGGAACTACAGGCGCGCGCTACCACGCCCGGCTAGTTTTTTTTTGATTTATTGTAGAGCTGAGGTCTCGCCTGCCCAGGCGGGTCTCGAACCCGCGGGCTCAGGCAATCCACTCACCTCAGCCTCCCAAGGCGCGGGATTACAGGCTGAGCCACTAAGCCCGGCAAATCATTTATTTTAACTGCTGGGAATCTGGATGTCAGGAAACACGGTTGCAGGTGTGACTCCACCCTCTCCTCTTGCCCCAGATGTGAAGAACGGGATTCCCAACAGCCCCCAGAAGGTAGCCCTGACTCTGGATATTGATCTTGAGAAGGAACCGGAGCCAAATGAACCCCAGAACCCAGGAAAACCTTCAGTCTTCGTTGTCTTCCGAAAGGTTTGACTTGAATATAACCCCCACCCACCAGCAGTGGGAAGAATGGGGTCTCGCATTGTCTATTCCGAGGTCACAGGGTCCTAGCGGGCCAGGAACACAGCTGGGCTGGGCCCCAAGTATTTTTTTTCGGGTGGGGCCTGAGCAAGAGGGTTGGGCCCTGGACTGCCCCGCCCACTCACACCCTTGCCTCTGGCTCCCAGATCTGGCTGACAGCGCTGTGCCTTGTGTTGGTCTTCACAGTCACCCTGTCCGTCTTCCCCGCCATCACAGCCATGGTGACCAGCTCTACGGGTCCTGGGAAGTGGAGTGAGTGTCGGAGTGCAGAAGAGGGCAAGGCAGGGGGCACAAAGCGGGGAGGAGGAAAGGGGGAAGTGGGGACCAGCGTGAACCACCAGTCCTCTCTCCCCCAGGTCAGTTCTTCAACCCCATCTGCTGTTTCCTTCTCTTCAACATCATGGACTGGCTGGGACGGAGCCTGACTTCTTACTTCCTGTGGGTAAGCACACCTGAGTTGGGTGATCTGATACTTTAGGAAGCAGTTGGGATCACAGGGCGTGAAAGAACACAGGTGATTTTCCAACAGCCCCGTGGTCTGACAAAGGAACTGCTGGCCAAGTGGCAGTGAGCACCTGGGCCCTGGAGGTATGCAAGCCAGGGCTTGGACTGTGAGCTTCTGGAAAGCAAAAGCCAAGTCCAATTGACCTCTGTGCTCCCAGCATCCAGCCCAGGGCCCAACCTTGGTACTCAGAGAATGGTTTTTTTTTTTGAATCGGAGTCTCATTCTGTTGCCCAGGCTGGAGTGCAATGGCACGCTCATGGCCACCTGGACCTGCTGGGCTCAGGCAATCCTTCTGCTTCAGCCTTCCAAGTAGCTGGAACCACAGGCATGTGCCACCACATTTGGCTAATTTTTTGATTTATTGTAGAGACGAGCCATGTTGCCCAGGTTGGTCTCGGACCCCTGAGCTCAGGCAGTCCTCTCACCTCTACCCGCCAAAGTGCTGGGATTACAGGCATGAGCCACCGTGTCTGACTCAGAGAATGTTACATGGAGATTCCTGCACCAGGCAAGAGGCTGTACAAGATCCCTAGTTTTGCAATTACTTTCCATCATGGTGCTATTTTTTTTTTTTTTTTTTGAGTTGGGGTCTCATTTTGTCACCCAGACTGAAGTGCAGTGGCACAATCATGGCTCGTCGCAGCCTCAACTTCCTGGGCTCAGGTGATCCTTCTGCCTCAGCCTCCTGAGTAGCTGGGACTACAGGTGCATGTCACCATGCCTGACTAATTTTTTATTTTTATTTTTCTAAAGACAAGGTCTCGCTATATTGCCTAGGCTGGTCTCATACTCCTGGGCTCAAGCAGTTCTCTCCCCTCGCCTCCCAAAATGCTAGGATTACAGGCGTGAGCCGCTGCACCTGACCCCATGCTATTTCTTTAAATGAAAACTTCCAAGGAGAGATAATAAATAAAACACCAAAGAGGACCTGCTCTGATCCAGGTCAGGACAGGAGACCTGGATCTCCAGCTTCTAATCACACTTGGAAACCTAACTGCCCCAGAGAGGTTTGTGGAACCCCCCAGGGGTGCTCTGAGGAACCCAGTCTGAAACTGCAGATTCAGTTCTGCCATGAACAGCTAGAGATTGGGAGAGAAAGAGGCCAGCCCCAGGCCTGTCCCTCTGATTGCTGGGTGGCCTTGGCCCAGGTCCTCGTTCCCTAGAGGCCCCAACACTGGGTCCTCACGGGCTCATAGGGTAGATGGGGTCAGAGGACACCGGGGGTTGACGGATCAGTCTGTCCTGTGGCTGCCCCAAGGTCCCCGTGGAGCTGAGACCTGGCTCCAGGGCCCTTGCTCACTCCAGCCTCTGTCACAGCCAGACGAGGACAGCCGGCTGCTGCCCCTGCTGGTCTGCCTACGCTTCCTGTTCGTGCCACTCTTCATGCTGTGCCATGTGCCCCAGAGGTCCCGGCTGCCCATCCTCTTCCCGCAGGATGCCTATTTCATCACTTTCATGCTGCTGTTTGCCATTTCTAATGGCTACCTGGTGTCCCTCACCATGTGCCTGGCGCCCAGGTTCGGGGGCGGGGAATGGGGTGGTGTGGGGGCTGGGAGTGGGAGGTGGGTTAGATCTTTGAGGAGGGGCAGCCTGCAAGGGAGGGAGGGTCCCTTCTGCTTCGGGCCAGCCCAGCCCTAGTTGTCTGCAGGCCTCGCTGGCGCCCCCCTCGCTGGCGTCGGGGCAGGTCTTAACTGCTGGGGAAATGGTCAGGCGCAGTGGCTCAAGCCTGTAATCCCAACACTTTGGAAGGCCGAGGCAAGAGAATTGCCTGAGCACAGAGGTTCAAGACCAGCCTGGGCAACTTGGTGAGACCCTGTCTCTACAGCAAATCAACAGATTAACTGGGCATGGTGGTGCGTGCCTGTAGTTCCAGCTACTTGGAAGGCTGAGGCGGAAGGATCTCCAGAGCCCAGCAGGTCGAGGCTGTGGTGTCCCTGACCTGGTTCTCCCTGTCACCTTTACTCTCCCTGGATTCTCAATGCCACTGCTCCTCCGAGAAATAGTCCATGCATTCCACTTTCAATCAAAACCTTAGCTCCCCTTCAGCTGATAATTTTGGAGCTAGATGGGTCCTGAGGGATGACAGTCCAATGCATTAATTTTATAGATGGGGAAACTAAGGTCCATAGATGAGTCCCCAGAACCAGTTCCTACTTTACGAGGCAGGTACGTCCCCAGTCTGGTTCTCTCCCCAGCAGTTTGTTTTTGTTTTTTGTTTTGAGTTGGAGTCTCACTCTGTCGCCCAGGCTGGAGTGCAGTGGCACGCTCACGGCCACCCCAGCATCTACCTGCTGGGCTCCAGCAATCCTTCCACCTCAGGCTTCCATGTAGCCAGAACTACAGGCACACGCTACCATGCCTGGCTAATTTTTGATGTATTGTAGAGACGAGGTCTCGCCAAGTTGCCTGGGCTGGTCTCAAACCCACGGGGTCAGGCAGTCCATTCGCCTCAGCCTTCCAAAGTCTTGGGATGATGGGCTGAGCCACCGAGCCTGGCCATCAGGGGCACTTTGTGAAAAGAGAAGGCAGTGGAATCTAGAATCCCATAATGTTGGACCCCAAAGGCCCTGAGAGAGAGATGTGTTTGTCCAGCAGTCTCATTTTACAGATCGGGAATCTGAAGCCTAGAAAGAAGGACCTAATTGTGACATGAGTCAGAGTCTGGACAGAACAGGCAGTGGACCTTGGGGCTGAGTTTGGGCCTTGCATCTTCTAAGAGCTCCTATTCCTGGTGTTCTAGACAGGTGCAGCCACACGAGAGGGAGGTAGCTGGCGCCCTCATGACCTTCTTCCTGGCCCTGGGACTGTCCTGTGGTGCCTCCCTCTCCTTCCTCTTCAAGGCACTGCTCTGAAGTGGCCCATCCGAGCTCTCCCAGCAGCCCTCTCCACGGCGCCCACTGTGGAGTTGAGATCCAGCCCAGGGGAATGGCGAACCCGGCTCAGGCCTCTGCTGGGCGGGGGCCCCTGGCTCTAAGGCCACCGGGAAGGGCAGGAGATGCTCCCCCTCGCTGGCTGGTGACCACTTGAGGTGCTCGAGGAAGAATTCACCACCGGTCATTCTAACCCTCATCCAGGAACGGAGCTGACTTCCATGACTTCATCGAAAGATTGATAATCAGGGGAAAGAAGACACAGGCGTGGTCTTCCTCAGTGTCTGAGCTGCATTTGTTAATCATTACCGAGAGCAGAGGAGGCCAGGGGTCCTTGCCAAGGGTGTGGCTGAGCGGCCCCTACCTCAAGCTCAGAGTGGGAGGTGAGACCATCCCAGGACAGACGCCCTCTTCCCCCCAGGCCCCAGTGACCTCGAGGTAAAGGGAACCAGGGAACTTGAGAGGGGCCAAGGGGAAGGAACAGGTGCGGAGGATCTGAGGGCACTCGGAGGACCAGGCTCTGGCCTTGAATAGTGAACAGCGTCTTCATGGCCAACACGAACTGTCCCCGCTTCACAGAGCCCAGCTGGACCTGGGTCCCAGAACCGCAGCTAGCCTGCATGTGTGCACGCACTTTACAGTTTGCAAAGGTCTTCTGTACCGTCTCACTGAGGCCCTTGGAAGGAACCAAGCAGGGAGTGTGCTTCCCTCATTGTACAGGAGAGGAAATTGAGTCCTGGGGCGAGGGGACGTGACTGGTCCGTGGTAGAGCCGGGACTCAGCCCCCAACCCCCTCCTCCCTGTAGGTGCTGTTCTCCCTGCCTACCACCTGCTTCTCTTTTCCTCAGGTGGGTCAGGGCAGGAGCCCTAAGCACTTACGCCACCTTTTTGCTCAGTTTCCCCCCTGACCCTGCTCCTGGGTCTAATAACAACTCTATTCATTTGTATGATGTGTTCGCTGAGTCTTTATTTCCAAAATGCTGTTGCTCTATTGGCCTCAGTGAGCTGGGTGGGATGGGGATGATTGACAGGTGGGGTGACTGAGGCCCTGAGAGGGGCAGGGATTGCTGGGCATCTCTGTGCTGGATCCTCTGGACCATGTGATAACACCTGACAGAGCACCTAGCTGGATGGACAATTATTGCCGTTCCCTCCGTCAGCCCCTGGGCTCTCACCAGTATCCTCTACCCACCCTCCCACCCCCCTGCCCAGGGTAGCTCTTCAGAAAACCAGCCTCAGAGGGGTAGTCAGCCTGGGCAGGGCTTTGGCAACCCTGCCAATTCTATGGATGGATCGAAAAAAGGTCTGCTTCACAACACCTGTGCTACCCTGACCAGCCCAAGGAAAAGCAAGGGTTTTCTGCCTACCTGCCTTCCTGAACATTTACTGAGCACCTATTTTGTACTGGGTGCTAAACCAGAAATTCTTTTTTTTTTTTTTTTTTTGAGTTGGAGTCTCACTCTGTCGCCCAGACTGGAGTGCAGTGGCCGCTCCGGCCACCGCAGCCTCGACCTGCTGGGCTCCGGCGATCCTTCCGCCTCAGCCTTCCGAGTAGCCGGAATTACAGGCATGCGCTACCACGCCTGGCTGATTTTTTAATTTATTGTAGAGATGAGGTCTCGCTGCCCAGGCGGGTCTCGAACCCGCGGGCTCAGGCCATCCACTCACCTCCGCCTCCCAAAGGCGCGGGATGACAGGCTGAGCCCCTGAGCCCGGCTCAGAAATTCTTCTGATACCAAAGAGGAAGACAAGGCAAGATATAGTCTTGGTAGCTGAAATAAGCCACAGGGCAGATCCCAGGTAAGGATTCATTCCTTGGACTACTGTTCACAGCCCCATGCCAGGCCCTGGCTCGTCTGGAGACCCTGAAACAAAGCAGATGCAGTCCCCACTCCCAAGGCCATGGGAAGCAGACTGGGACTTGGGGTACAGCTTGTGAGGGCCCTGCAGGAGTGTGTCATTAAGGACTCCAGAAAAAAGAGCCACTGGTTGCACCTGGGAAGTCAGGGCGGGTATTCTGGAAGAGCTGTTCCTCAAGCTGGGCCTTGAGGGATGTATATGAGTTTGCTGAGTTCAGATGGAGGAGAGGCAGAAACAGAGAGGCCACAGAGGAGTTGGCTCCTGCAGTCCAGTGAGGAGTAATGAGGCCTAGACAGCAGCTTAGAGGAGGATGGATACAAGAGACATGAGGGCGGCTGCTTCTATAGAGGCCGATTAACGTTATTTAAGTGAACGTATGCTGACCCAGAGTCCTGGGTTCAAATCCGGCCCTTTTTCTTTTTTTGTTTCTTTCTTTTCTTTTCTTTTCTTTCTTTCTTTCTTTCTTTTTTTTGAGTTAGTCTCTCACTCTGTTGTCCAGGCTGGAGTGCAGTGGCATGCTCACAGTCACCGCATTCTTGACATGCTGGGCTCAGGTGATCCTTCCGTCTCAGCCTTCCAAGTAGCTGGAACCACAGACACCCACTACCACACCTGGCTAATTTTTTGATTTATTGTAGAGACAAGGTCTTGCCAAGTTGCCCTGACTGGTCTCGATCCCCTGGACTCAGGCAGTCCTCTTACCTCCACCTCCCAAAGTGCCAGGATTACAGGCATGAACTACCGCGCCCGGCCTTCCCTTTTCCGTCAGAGCTTGCCTGAGTCCTGGAATCTTGGAGTGAGGTTGGACTAGAGTGCAGCTTCTGATGATACTGGGAAAATAGCCATTGGAATCCCGAGAATATCTTGCAAAGACCACTAGACTTAGCAGTACCCTTTGATGAGACTGGTAGCAACAGGACCCCAACCCTTGCTGGGTCCCCTTCCTCTCCACCTTCAGAGACTGTTTTCTCCTATTCCTGCCAGACCCACCTGGGGCCAAGAAGACAGATATCTACCTACCCTATCCCTACCTCGCAGGCCAAGCTGTCCCAGGGAACCCAGTAGGGTGACCTGTCACCAGCCTAGGGTTGGGCTGAGCAGTAGAGGATGGGACTCCGAAAGAAGACACCTCTCAGATGTCTTTATGATGTCTCAACCTGGAATTCTGTCTTCCTATCCTCCTTCCTGGGAGACCAAGCCCAACTTTCCCATCAGATTGGATGCAGCTAGCTTTTGATGTTGGAAACAAGTACTTAGGCTGGACCTGCCTGTCCCTTCCTGGTGCCCATTCCCCAACTACTGTTGCCTCCCAGCCCCTGACAAAGCTCTGCTGACAGCCCCAGATTCCCTCAGAAGCACCAGTTTCTAGCAAACACTTGCAGAAGACTCTGCATAGCGGGCTCTGAGCTAGGCTCAGGGAAGGACCCCAGGCATGTGAAGCCTAGCCCTCACCCTCAAACTGCTGATCCTTTCATGAGGAGGAGGTTGGTTAGTGATGCTTAGAATTCTACTGCATGAAACATGAAAAGCATTTGACATCTATGATCTACTTTTCCACCTGTCTCACTACAGCTCTGATCATGCGAGACGTTGCCAGGGTACCACCCCTTTTGAGTAGCTCCAGAGACCTCTGCCTCAGCCTCACACCCTGCTCTGTAGGGGAATAGCATCTTGATCTGGCCACAGCTGATTGCAACGTGGCTGGGCTCTGAGCCAGTGCAGCCACTTATTGGCTGGCCAGCAGCCTATGAGGTAGCCTGGCCCAGCTTCCCTGGTGAGAGGAGTCAATGAGCTCATCTTTCTTTGGAGAATTAAGTCACAACATGGCGGTGGGGGTGGAGGCATGTCTTGAGGTCAGCGACACGTTAGAAAAAATAGGTCGTAGGGGTGTCATCCGCATGACAGAATGGGGTGTTATTTTGTGGTCACTAGAGTTGCCATGATATTCTGGATGGAGCCAGGTGACACTCTTGTTTCTTCTTGCCTTCTTTCTTCTCAAGGTTTCTTGACAAAACTGTTGTTGATTGAGGTCACCTGGCTGGGCTCTTTTCCTTGCAGTCCCAAAGAGTTTGTCAAGCAGAAGCCCTGGACACCACTATCCCCATTTTATAGATGAGTAAACTGAGGTTCCATAAGGCTCAATATTAATAGAACGCAAACAAAAGTAGTGAAGTAGGCAGCTCCATGGACCTGTCCCTCCAAAAAATACTGAAAAATGAGCACGGTCGGGCTCCGTGGCTCAGCCTGTAATCCCAGCGTTTTGGGAGGCTGAGGTGAGTGGATTGCCTGAGCCCGCGGGTTCGAGACCCGCCTGGGCAACTTGGCGAGACCTCATCTCTACAATAAATCAAAAATTAGCCGGGCGTGGTAGTGCGGGCCTGTAGTTCCAGCTCCTTGGAAGGCTGAGGCAGAAGGATCGCCTGAGCCCAGCAGGTCGAGGCTGCGGTGGCCAGGAAAAGCTTTGCTATATTTTACTTGCCCTTGTCCAATTTCCATTCTGGGTTGGTGGTAACTGTGAAGATGGCATTCCCAGCGTGGGACCCTGCTCATTGACTCTGGAGGAAGCAAAGCAGACTTTGTTCTAAAACTGTTGTATCTATCAGTTCTGATCTGTCTGGAGAGACTACCTGAAAAACTGATGCCAGGTTCTTGCTTTTGTTTTGCCTGACTCAGAAAGCTCTGAGGATGGAAAAGTATCTGCTCAGAAGGCAGTTCTCCAAAACATTAAAAGACACATCAACAACTCATGGCTTTCTGGAGCAGCTTACAGGCATGCTGAAAGCCTGTAAGGAAAGGCTGGGTTGAGATTCTCTGGGGGGAATTGAAAAGCTCCCTCAAATAGCAAAGGGTTTAGAAAGGCTTGTGCATGCAGAGCAGGGTGCACGCTCAGAAAAACCTTGAGAAGACCCTAAGTGCTCACCTCTGGCTGATTGTTAGACTCACGCAGTGAGAAGTGAAAGCTAAGGCAGAGTTGC